AAAACAGCTCACGGTAAACACTGCAAGGTGTCGCCGAGCAAGGGCAGTTTTAAATTATTGCGAGAGAGAAAGAAGGTAAGGGGGGAGAGAGAGAGAGAGAGAGAGAGAGAGAGAGAGAGAGAGAGAGAGAGAGAGAGGAGGGGGAGAGAAGGAATATCTCCGGCACGAGTGAGACAGGCGTTCCACGTGAAATAAGAATATCGTTGGAAATTCCGTGTTCTCTGGAAGTTTACGAGACACAGCGCTCTATCCTATCTCCATTTGTCAGACGTGAATGTTGCAGTAGCTCTTCCTCGAGCAGACTCACGTCAAAGATGTAAGCGCGGTGGACGTGCGTGGATTTAACAATTTTAGCGCGAGCGGTGTGTACGATTTAGCGCGAAACGCTCCGAATAATTCGTCCAACGTCGAGAGGAGATAACGCGACGGTAATAAGGTGCGAAGCGGCGAAAGAAGATATATATATTCGCGCGTACGTGTACGAATGCCTAGACAAAGATCGTAGTGACGATTTATAATTGCGCGCACGACGACGCTTTAATGGAGCGTAGGAAAAGCGCCGATGTCATTAAGACGACAAAGGTAGCTCGGGAGAACTTCCGTGCGTAACTGTTTCCGACTCGCTGTGTCGGGCTTCTGCCAGGTGCACTCTCCATGCTCGAGTGCGCAATTTCCGGCGTGAAGCGTCGAAACTACTATCACCTGGGTAGAGTAAAATCGCGCGCACAGTTACGACGAGCCGTGTCGCAACGAGCGGCTACAAAGAATTTGCCGAGCTTCGTCGGGAAAGCAAATAATCCGAGAAAAAGGGAAAAATGAAAGGAAATCCTACTCCTTTGACTCCTTTGTGTTCCGCTGTTCCGCAACGCGGAGGTGGATCTCTCTCGTTTTCCTTCGATTTTTAATTCGACGTATTAATTCAAATCGCCCGAGATTAATTTCACGTTAACGATTACAACCGTCGATGTCAGGAGCGGGTTGAAGCGCGTCGGAGGAGATCCTCGCGTCGGACTAGTTTCGAATATTTACATTTAATAGAAATCGGCCCCTCGAATTCCACGCTGAAAGAGAGGAAGAGAAAGAAAGAAGAGAGAAGCTACGGTTAACGAGTCAAGCCCGGAAATTAAGTCAAGCACCGTGATAACCGGTATACGTCTCGATAGTGGAACGCGCGTGTTGCCGCGGTTGTGACTTCGCTCGTGCGGAGCCCGCCAACATTGTCGCCACGAAAGCGCACGCTGGCGGTAACGTTTATGTGTATTATACGACCGTGCTACTTATTATCCGCGAAGAATGTAAGAGGATATTCGAAGAGAGCGAACAGCGATGATCCTTCCTTTCCTCGTGTACGCGTCCGAGTTCGCGTTTCACAGCGTTCGCGACCCACTCTTTGATTCCGGCGTATCCGGTGCGCGTTCGACTTCTTTTTCTGCTTTTTCTCCTTCGCCTCCTTCTCTCGGAGGGGGATTGGTCATGAATATTTTTCTCCAGCATGAAACTCGTAACGAGTGCAAATTTTCCAATCTGAGAAGCATTTAGAAATGTTCACTTTTCACCGGCTCACGCTGAAGGAAGATTCATAATCGCCCCTCGCTTCCAATCATATGCGCATCTGTCCCTTTCAGAGGGGCACAATTTTCTGCTGCACTTTCAGTATTATCGCCCTTCCTTCGTCTTTCTTCAGCGAGAAAAATCATATAAATAGTCGATGGCGATGAGTATCGATCAGACTGCAATCTTCGGACTTTTCACGATCACGTAGACAATAAAAGCGTTCGTTCGACACCTTCCATTCACGATGCCCGATCTACGGCTTGAAGAATCTCAGGCTCAGGGTGAAATTCTTTCCCTCGGAAGTGACGCGCTCGCGTGCGTCCATTCTCTCCCTCTCCCGATCTTCCTCCACCGTCTTTGCGAGCGCGGCTTCTTTTTACTTCTTCTTCCTTCCTCCCGAAAGTGTACCGGCGATGACGCGGCGTTCGAGAATCCACACGCGGTGCCGCGACAATAGAAAGTTATACGGAGACTCTCCGCCGACACTAAGATCCGGAAGGAACTCCGATGACAACGAATGACCCACATCCGGTGAGCCAACCGTGAGAGAGTAGACGCTGCCGCGCGACTTATATGGCCCGCAGTTCCTCGATTGCCGAACGCAGCTTATAAGATCGCGTAGAAACTCGACGAAGAGAGCTATTACGAACAGCGCGCGAGCTCCTAACGTCGATTTCGAAAAGCGCCGTGCGAAACGCACTTTCTAGCATAATTAAATTCGCGATCATTCATTAACGCTCGATCGCGCGATTATTATTTCATCGCTCGACAAAAATATACGCGACTACGACGACTCCGTCGTCTCGTCCGGTCCTTTCCGATGTTTTTGCGCAACATACAATGTCGTATAACATCGCGATGTTATATTAAGAAATTACCGATCATTCCTTCATCCTTGCTTCTCTTCGACTTTCTCTACCGTCTCTCTTAGCCGCTCGTAGAAAGTCTCCCGCTTACAACCAAAGGGCTTAACGCGGCAGCCACCCATGTAACCCACTTTTTCGTAGCTTCGTAAGTTCATTCTTCGTTTTTATTTTTTCTTGTCAGAGTTCCGTAGGATTAATTTCGACATTGGGGAAATCACGTTGGTACCTATTCTACCTGTATATTCTCCCTGTTGTGTTTATAAAAAGCGAACCGAAGATATTTTTTCTCTCTTTGTCGCGCTCATTCCCGCGATTGTAACTCGATCATCAGTGCATTCTCTAAATTGAAATACGTGAGTTTATTTTTATTTCTACTTTTATTTCTATTTTTTTTTATTTTATTTCTATTTTTATTTCTTTTTCGTTAAAATCGGATTAACTTTTCCATCGCGCTCATTCGCAATGCCTATATTCACTTTCGAACAATTAAATTGACATATATGTAAGTTAAACGAAACGCGGGTAAATACTGATAAAAACTTTGTCACGCAATCGCTGTTTTATTCGTCACTTCGTCTCGATCTACAACGTGATACTGGAATATTTTCACTCATCAAATTAAAAACAATCGCTTTTCCATGAATCTATAATATATGCACTGAGAAAAAATTGTATTAAAATTAAACAAACATTTGTTTGGATATGACTGTGAATACATTTATTTAAATTAAGTAATTATTTTATAAAATTCAAGAAAAAGTTTACATTCAGAGAGAGAGAAAGAGAGAGAGAGAGAGAGAGAACCTCTGTATTTAATTTTAGAAATTAGTCGCTTAATTTGAATAAATTTATCCACAATCGTATTCGAACAAAGACTTGTTTAATTTTAATACAATTTTTTCTCAGTGTGTGTGTACTTTTAATTACACGGCTGTATGAAGCAGTAAGAAAGTTCTCTCTACAGATGTGTGCGCTTACTTTGGTCTACAGCGGCGGCCGCGGAAAATCCGAAAATCCCTTGCAAGCCTGAATCGCGCAAATTCGCGAAACTCAATCGGTGACGGTCGTTGTGTCGGACACGCGACACGTAGAAATCACGTTTCACCCGACAGCCGACAACAGGCTAATGACAATAAGCGTAATCCCGACGCGATTGCTCCGTGTAATTAGCATCATGCACGGCACCAGCGCAGCGCGCCGCGGCGCGGCGTTACGGCCATCCTATCGTTGCATTATTCATGTCGCGGGCTACACCCTAAATTCGAAGGCTTCCCAAAGGATGTAACCGCCGCCGCCACCGCCACCGCCGCCGCCGCCGTCGCCGTCGCCGTCGCCGTCGCCGGTAATTTCACCGTCGAACAGCCCTGCCAACCATCGCTATATGAATCACGAAGTAAGGTGCATTATAGAAGACCTCGGCAGCGGAGGGAAGTCTTTAGATCCTGAGGATTGAACGTCCCGAAAATAACGCTTGAAATATGTATCATGTTGTTCGGAATATTCGCATTGGAAATCTCTCTCTTTCTCCCTTTCTCCCTTTCTCTCTCTCTCTCTCTTTCTCTCTCTCTCTCTCTCTCTCTCTCTCTCTCTCTCTCTCCTTCGCTAAAGACCATCACCAGCATCAATTACATCGATCACCGAGTTTTCTCTCGGTTCACGCTCCATTTTTTTTTCCTTCTTGTTTATTTTCAAAATACGTCCCCTCGCGCGTCTGGTTCGCAGGAGCATTATTAGCGATGACAATAATATATCTTCATTTGTGTATTAATCCAATTATAGCGTCGCACGATTGCAACGACTTCGTGGCGACGATGTGTCATAATTAGTCGCGATGTATCGACATTATTCGCGCAAGTCTGATCGTACTAACACGGAGAGCAGACGATCATCATCGACGATTGTGCCGCGATCTTTGCTGTCTTCTGTATTTCTTTATCACGAGCTCACACAGAGAATGTCTCAAAGATGATTATGATGGGTGAAACCGAACAATCGCGGTGATGAGAGCAATGCGGTACGTCGAGTCTGTAACGAGACGGGACACAAAAGAAAGTCGGGAAAAAGGGGCGAAAAATGGTCTGACAATTCGTAGATCTAAAGTCGACTTCGGCTCATGAATAACGTAGGAGGGTGCATTAGAATATTCCCTACGGCATAACGAATAAGGAGACATAACTCCCGTTGTTATTCCTCCTGTTAAAGGGGAGAGCTCCGGCTCTTGATAGTCGACCCGCCGCGAAAGAAAGCCGAAGACGTCGTAAAAAAGATATGGCAGCTCTTCTCCGAGAAGAGAAGACGCTGCTCGAGTCGACGACGGTCTTGTATTGGATCTCATTTTGGCTTGTTAAAAGATTGCGTCGTGTCAAAGCGGCAGGAAAAGTCGAACGTGGCACGACTTGCCTTCGATGTTCCTCCTCGTTCGTTTGCGTTCGTTTGCGTGAAAAGAAGAAACAATGTTACACCGCGAGCGGCGTGCTTTCGCGTGACCCGCTCGTAATTAGCTCGCCGATTGTCGCTCGCCATTGTCGCGGGTCGCTTGCACAATCGAGTCGCTAATTGTGCCGTGAATTACAATTGCAGATATAGCGGCCGGCTCAAAAATTACTTGATGCGCTGAGGATGCGCCGTGATTTCCGCAACGGTGGGCTTGCCTGCGCCGCTGTTGTGTGGGTGTCATCGACCTGTCTGCTCGTCCTCTCGCTGTCATCATCGATCACCACCGCAGGTACGTCATCCGTTTTTCCTCCTTTCTTTTTTTGCTATTCTCGCGTTTTATCACTCACTCCGCTCGTCGCCGACGCGGCTCCGCGTATAACGCTCCTTTGTTCCGTCCGGAATTGAAGCGCCGAGAATGAAGTGGACTCGAGACACTTGGGTAGACACCGGGGTGTTAAAACGATGGTTTTACGAGGAGACGTTTCCCGGTCACCTCGGGTAACTCCTTCCGATTGTTCGGCCGCGTGTCGCGCGTAATAACGAGCAATCGCGCCTTATGCGGCTTGTTTTAATCATGTGCACTTTATACGGCTTGCTTTGATTATAATGAAAATTTCACCCCGTCGATCGCCGACTCGCTCGCCCGCTCATTGGAGAAAGCTGCTCGAGCGGCACGAAAATGTCGGAAAATGCGAGTTAACTCGCAGCGAAAGCGTGCGGGGTAGTCGAAATAAATCAGACCTGAAATTATGGAAGCCAAAGTGGATTGACCGCTTTTTCGTGCAGCGCCGAGCGATCCGTTTATCGAAAGTGGATTGATATTTCTGTCCCGCGCGACGCGAATAAACGGTCGAATGTCGAGCTGCGATCAAAAATCTTTTCCTCTTTTCCATTTTTTACCCAGGAAGCTTGATATCGTCGATTCAGCGATACGGGAGCGTGCAACTGCTCTCATTCTTAATTTCTCGAGTTAATTCGCTTCGGACGTTTATCGCTCTGGACATTTCAATGATCGATGCTGTCGCGTCCTGTCGCATCTCCTAAAGTTGGTCCGGAGGGGATGATGGCCGCGATCACCTCGCCGAAGTCAGCACGCGGTTGCACGAGCAATCGCGCCGTTCATGCTCGCTGACGACGTTGCACCGTGTTTCTACAGCTTTCTAGCCGAAGAGGTCGAAGGTCCGTTTCGGGCAACACGCGAAAAAAGGAAAAAGCGAACGCTCTCGCAGCGCGGACGTGCATCTGCATATAATGCGCGCCGTTAGACGTGAGCGGATTTCGGAAGCCGAACGTGTGCGCCGTGATTCGTCCTTGATGTAGCACGAACCAACCGCGCGCCCGCACATATGTCCCCGAGGGGAATTTAAGGATTTTGTTCTCGAGGACTCGGCCAATCGCCTACCTGAGGGCCGACATCGCGAGGCCGAGCGCTCGGACGCAATTTCTTCCGCCTTGCCGAAAAATGGCCGTGCGGAAAGGACCGTTTGCGCGAGGTACGCCCCGATGTGAAATTAGGTATTACGAGATGCGCTCGTAAAATCTGAATTCATCGAGGTCTGCTTACCAGCGGCGTGTTGGTGCTCCGCTAACGAAACTCGCGTTATCCGGCCTGACGCAGCCCTCGCGAGGCGATCGTAATTCCGCAGGAGCGCCGAGCGTTGAGCTTCGCCTCCTCTTCGTTATCGTTATTCGTATTCCGAGTTTGGAGCTTAAGCGCGACGAATCTATACATAATTTCGCGTCCCAGCTTTCATCGCGTGGAAAGGGACAAATATAATGTTCCCTCCTCCTGCCGCTCGTCGTTGGGTGCGTGTCTTACAGCGCACGCTCGATTGACGTGCTGAATTTTCTTTCGAACTGAAATTTCAATGGGCGGTCGTTAATCTTTTCCTCCAGAACTCGTGAGAAGTGCAAATTTTCTTATTTGAAATTTTCCAGACGAGAAGTGTTTGAAAATACTCGCTCTTTACGAGTCCGTATTAGAGAAAAAGCTTCATCGCTGTCCCCTTCAACGCGAATTACACGGTGCGTTTCTCTCTCTCTCTCTCTCTCTCTCTCTCTCTCTCTCTCTCCTCTTCTCTTTGTCGCAAATATCATCGGCCATTGAAGAGCCGATATTCAATCGGCTTTGTTATTAATACGAGGAAATATAGAGATCATTTCCCCGCATAACATCGGAATCTGTGCTCGCCGGGAATTATATCGGTTTCAATAGTCGCCCTCTCTCAATAATCGCGCGTTACGGCTTTCGCACACGGCGTACACACGAGTGGCTGATAATGTGCGAATCACGCGTATTTCTTTCTCTTTATCGTTATCAACACGTGTATACCATGCTCGATGCGTGTAGCAATCAGCAATCAGCATATACGTACATTCTAATCGACGGATTAAATAGCGTATCTAATACGAAGCCGGTAATCACGCCGCGAGATTGCCGGTTAGAGACTACGGATCCAATCCACTAATCGATTCCCGATGTTACAGCAGGATGCACGGGGGGGGAGGGGATGGACTTTTCAATGAATATCGAGGGCAGCCCGATTTGCATGCCATCGGCAATAATAAATTGAATTTCTCTCGCTCGCCGTTAAAAGGCATCCTCGCAACTTTGCCTCTCATCACTGTGCTTCCACATACTACCTTTCTCACTCTGTCTCTTTCTCTCTCTCTCTCTCTTTCCTCTTGTTTTTTCCTCATTCCATCTTGATATCTCCTTTAAGGGAAAATTATATCTAGAATATATATAGGAAATGCTCAGTGATGCGATACGTTAAATCCCATTTGTACGTTCATCGAAATTCAAAGGAAGGAAAGAGGCGTTTCAGGATATTTCCTCTATTAAACTATATATTACGATTATATATATATATATATATATATATTATATATTGTATGAAAATATACATAATATTACATTAATATTATATAATTAATATAAATTATATCTTGTAAATATAGTAATTATTACAATTAATTTTTCGGCTGTGTATATATATATATATGTATGCATACAGCCGGCGGCATTTTGTTGCAAATTCGCAGTTTGACTGGAATACGGGCCGTATAAATAAGTACGAAAGGCGAGAATCTCTGCGAGCCGACGAGTCGGAAATTCGGGTAATCGGATGCACGGCGCCGCTTGAGTTTCACCGGACTTTTATGAAATTCGCCAACGGCGTGAAAACGTGAGGCGACGACGTGGCACGGTAAACGGCCGATTGAAACGCGACGCGTGTGCAGCATTTGCGCTGCAGTCGTTAGTACATCGCGCTCCAAGTACTTTCGCCGAGGACAGTTAAATGGGATATCCGTTTGAGCGGATTTTCTTTTCGTGTATGTCCGGCCGGACACTTTCTTCCTCTCTTTGTCGCGTGAGCGTGCACTGCCGATATTAATATATGCCATGTAACGGAACGCGCAGAGAGAACTCGCGAAGTCACGCATAAATTTACATAACACAATCGAACATGCAGCTGTAAAGAAAATTACGGACCAATTACCGGGAAAATTATGCTCCACGATCTTTCGTGACGTTACGGAAGATTAAGAGAAAATTTCTTTTTATACTTTCGATAAGATACCGTTATCTTCGAATTTATCTTTGAAAGTTTCGTTTTGTTCGTGGATGCGAACTCCTCTTCGAGGAGGCCGATTTGAATTTCGATTGCTTCGTAGTTGCGTTTTTCAGCCCGATACAACGATGTAACTTTACCCGTGCATTTTGTTCTCCGTGCAACGATAAATTTAACATCCTCCACACGACAACAAGAGGACAACTTGTTCGACGAAGGAAAATTTCTTCTTTGTGGAGATCCTCCCCCCCTCGTCCTCAATTTTCAAACGATCGGAGTCTCAAAGTTGACACCTTCGGCTGTGCGCTGATCGGTCGATCGTCACTCGACCCTTGCATCTCTTGATCTCGTCTTTATTTAGAAACTCACACCTATCCGTTTTCCCGTCGAAAAGCACGTCTCTCGTTTGTTCATCTCATTTTGGTGCGTGTTTTCCTCACTCAGCCGAGTGCCCGTGCCCGAGGCGTTCGTGGCCATGGCACCGCCTGGAAACACGCTCATAGCACGTTAGGTAAGTATAGTAAGTGTGGCAGTAGGATACCGAGGAACCGTTAGGTCGACTCCGGCTATTTTTATTATTATTATCATCGTCGTCGCCGCCGCCGTCGCGTCGTGTTTGTCGTAGTCGTGGTGCTACACTTTAGCTCGAGAGCGTGCTCAAAAATGCTACCTCGGCTGTGCGAGAAAGCACTTTTTTTCGTGATGACCTATTAAGCGGCTCTCACGGTTTATTAATCCACGCATCGTCGTCTAGCCAACGCAAACGTCGATGTATGTACGCAACTCCTCGCCGCTCGATTGTTCGCCGCGATCACAACTCGAGAATGGATCGAACGCTATTGACGATTAAAAATGGCAAAATAGAGTCTGTGTGAAATTAACGTCGAGTATCGGCTAGCTGAATTTGCATGAAACATTTGCCGTAGGCGGAAATCCGTATCGAAAATGAATTTTGAGAATTACACGAACTCTCGTTTCGTTTTTTTATGCTTTTGTGAAAGCATAAGTCGCTAAAGTCTATTAAATTCTATATCCAGATTTATGAACGGATATGTCGTTCGAGATTCGACTGACTATCTCCTCTCCTATTTCTTCGCATTTCTTTCGAATCTTCTTCCTTAAATTTATCTTTAAATTCACATACGTCTGATGGATACGTCTGGCAGCGCAGATTACTCCGTAATGTATGTTCTCCGTTTTTAGTAGTTCCCATTTAGGAACAGCTTATCGATTCACTTTGTGCAGACGTTCGTGAGAAGACGTGAGTCTTCACCGCTCGCGTTCTCGACTCGATTCGAGATTTTCAGAGCGAGCGAGATATTAGGAGGCACGAGATGTTTTGCCTTTAAGAACAGATGTGCTCGACGGGGGCATAATGTTTCAGCACAGGGTCCTTCGGGTTTCTCGTTCCAGCAGTGACTAGAGACATCGAGTTCGAAATTTTAAGTGCCGAACTCTTCTTATTGATATCGATCATCGATGTATCTTCTAGACTAACCGATGACTCATTGAATATCTAACGCCTAAAAGTGTCGACTCACGCTGCTGCGATCTGCATGTTCACAGAGCCATCGCTGCGGGCCGTCGGTCGATGTCCTTCCTTCGTCGAGCAGAACGTATGTCCGTCCAGGTCGCCGGGCTGTGAGAATGACTTCCAGTGCCAAGGTGTGCCGGAGGAACGCTGCTGCGCGACCGCGTGCGGTCTCCGCTGCGTCATCGGCGAGCTGACCGGGTGCGAGCAGTTGGCTCTGGCGGCCGTGAGACGGTCGCGAGCACTCGCAGCTACCCGCGGACCGCCGCAATTCGTACCGCGATGTAACAACGAGACTGGCGAGTTCGAGAAGGTGCAGTGCGAGCCGCAGGGTCGCACTTGCTGGTGCGTCGACCAGCTCGGCACCGAGATTCCCGGCACCAGGGCGCCGAGCAAAGAGGTCATCGACTGCGACAAGCCGCGTGCTTGCCCGGCCCACAGCTGCCGCATGTTCTGCCCCTTGGGATTCGAGGTACTTTTCCTACCTACTCATTTCCGGAAAGAAAATAACGCTGACACCTCGAGTAAACCTTCTTCTCTGGGTTGTAGCGACCTTGGATGAAATGTGAGGCGTGTAAAGCTGCATTCTTCTTTTTCTACCTTTCTCTTCTCTACCTAATCTAACTTCTTATCCTTCGACGTTTATCCCGACGAGGATTAGATTTACGATATTTTCTGCATCGTCGCGAGCAGTCGGGCTATTCTGTGACGTGAGGCGCATTCGCTCAAGAAATCATCAGCCGCTATCGTTGTTGCAGATCAACGAGAACACAGGCTGTCCCAAGTGTGAATGCCGCGATCCGTGTCGTGGTGTCACTTGTCCCGGCGCAGGTCAGACATGCGAGCTGATCGACGTGAGCTGTGCGCGACCTCCGTGCCCGCCGGTACCCAGCTGTCGTAAGGCGAAGTCCCTGTTGACGATTTGTCCAGTGGGCGAACCGCTGCAGATCACAGACTCGCCGCGGCCGTTCCTCTGCGGCGACCGACCCGGCAAACCGACTTGTCCGCCGATGTACAGCTGCCTGGTGGAGCCCAAGCAGGAGTACGGAGTGTGTTGCCCGTCGAATGTGCGGCTGCAACGGGTCGGCGAGTGTCCTGCGGATGATCCAACAGCGACTGAGTGCGGATCCACTTGTCGCTACGATCTGGAATGTCCCAGCCCGCAAAAGTGTTGCAACAGTGAACGCTGCAGCGGTAACGTGTGCACGGTACCACGTGGTCTCAGCGTGTGCCATCGGGACCGGGTTCTTGCGGAGATGCTCAGCGTCTCCGAACGTGAAGGTCGCGGTTACGTTCCTCAATGTACGGAAGGTGAGTAAGACATTGAGATATTTCTAATTGAAATCACGTTCGCGTAGCGTTTGAATTTTAGTATCTGGAATATTCAGTATTTCAAATTTAATTTTCACGGTGAAATTATATCGTAAAAAATTCATATCGAATTCATATGAAATAACTTAAATTGATCTTATATATTATTTTTTAAGCTTACTTCAATTTTCTCTGTTAGAGCTTCTCGTACGTAGCATTTTATTAATTCGTTTAATTAGTCGCTTATATAAAAAAAAAAGATTATAAGTGCGAATTAATTTGTGTAGATGGAAATTACGAGACAAGGCAGTGCTCGAGGAACGGTCTTGTCTGTTGGTGCGTGGATAACAAAGGTAGAAAGATATCCGGTTCAATGGGTCCCGCTGAGAAGATCGACTGTAAATCGATAATCAAGGCGCGTTCGCTCCCAACATCTTGCACGCCTCAGCAGTGCGCCCAAGTCTGCCAATACGGTTTCAAAACGGATGTTTCCGGTTGTCCGACTTGCGAATGCGACGACCCGTGCGAGGGGTAGGTACTGCAGCACAGCAGTATCGATAAAGCTATTTTTAAAAAATAGAGGGCATAGTGGGATGAAAACGAAGCTGATACCCCATTTCTTTTGTGCTGCTCTCTCATATGAGTTATATTTAAAGTTTGGATATTCTATTTAGAATAAGTAAAAATGATCGGGAATATCTTTTAATATTAATATCTTATTTAATATTATATTAATATTTTTATTAATATAATATTAATATCTTTTAATATAATTTATTAATTTAATATAATTTATTAATATTTTTATTAATATAATATTAATATCTTTTAATATAATTTATAATTTTATATAATGAATACTATGAAATAGAGATATAATTGATCTTTATTGATCGAACTATGGTTTTTACAGATTTCCTTGTCCGGAAGGGCAGGAGTGCAGCCTGAAACGCGAGGAAGGCTGTCCTGATTTTCTCTGCCCGACGAAACCAGAATGTAAACCCAAGAAAACCTACAAGAGCCCTTGCTTACCCGGCACACCGCTAATTGATCAGTACGGGAACGCTGCGACTTGTGCTTCGAACGAAACTTGCCCCGAGGGCTACAAGTGCACGATGGTGCCGGAAGCCGGCCAATCAGTATGCTGCATGAAAACATCAAACCTTATGAAAGCACCCACCAGTAAGTCTTTATATAACAATGATTAAATACGAATAGTAAATTAATTAAAGTTATTACAGCGTTATTGCTGCTAGAGTAATATCAATTATAAATTAGTAACTTAATTGTTCAACTCATGCTCGAAGATTCTTATCAAATATGATAATAACTTTACAAACACAGTGTGCGAATATTTGCGAGACTTCAACGATCGCATGGAGGGTACGAGGGAGGGTATGTCGTTGGCAATCCAGGCGCCTCAATGTAAGGCGGATGGCAGCTATCGAGCCCTGCAGTGTCATAACGACAGCTGCAACTGCGTGAACCACCGTGGCGTGATGTTGAAGACCGGACTGGACCCTACCAGTGCCGACTGCAGCGGTATCGTGGAGGAGCTCGCAAAGACCTGCCAACGCTTATACTGCAACCTGATTTGTCCATACGGCTATGAGCTAGATGCAGCCGGTTGCGAGCAATGCCGCTGCCACGAGCCGTGCCGCGACGTTATTTGTGGCTCTCACGAGGCGTGCACGATGATCGACGTCAACTGCGGACAAGATCAGTATTGTCCGGCTGTACCTGCCTGCCTGACCACCAAACCAGGCCAATGTCCGTATCTTGTACCAAGCTCATCCAGCTGCGAGCTGCAGTGTAGCAACGATCAAGAGTGTCCATCGGGCGATAAGTGTTGTTCGACTGGCTGCGGCACGCAGTGCGTATCACCGGTAATGGCCACGGCTTGTCAACACGCTCGCGCAGTAGCCGAGCACGCAGCGCGCGAGTCCGGCGAGCCTGCTCGCAGGATCTACATACCCAGGTGCGACATGAACGGCGCGTTCGAGCCGGTACAGTGTCACAACGGTATGTGCTGGTGCGTAGATGAAGAGGGTAAAGAAGCGGCAGGCACGCGAGTCGTTGAGGGTATCGTACCGCGGTGTAACACGCCCCTCAGGTGTCCGGAGATCGGCTGCAGACTCAACTGTGCGGACGGCTACGAGCCGGACCCGGATACCGGCTGTCCGACCTGCTCATGTCGAGATCCATGTAAGAGTGTGACGTGTCGCGGCGAGAACGAAGCATGTAGGATGGTGGAGGTGGCTTGTAGCGCACCTCCGTGTCCACCTGTACCAGTTTGCCTACCGAAGAAGGATAATCCGTGTCCAAACGGCTCTCCGTTGCTCGACTCGGACGGTACAGTGGCCACTTGCGGTCCTCATGGTCATCATTGTCCGTCAACGCATAAATGCGAGCTGTCGCCGTTGGACGAGTACGCAGTCTGCTGTCCGAAGCCACGCGACGTGTGCTTCGAACCACCTAGGCAGGTGTCCTGCAATTCGAATGCGTCCAGCTTCAACGAAACTGAGAGATGGTATTTTGATCCGGAGGACAATAAGTGTCGACGTAAACATGACTGCACCCTTGGCCACAACGATTTCGCCAGTCGACTGGTATGCGACACCGTGTGTCCAGTACTGTCGCCGTGCGAGAAACTGCGTGAGAAGAACCTGAAGAGGTCGCAGAGACTTAAACGACCCACGTTTCTGCCCAAGTGCAACCCAGACAGCGGCATGTGGGAGCCGGTGCAGTGTTTGGAGCACGTCGGGGTCTGCTGGTGCGTTAGTCGGAAAGGTCAGCCGGTGAAGGGTTCGCTTACTAGAGGAGCGGAGCCCAAGTGCAATTTCCGACAAGCCAGACGGAGTGGTCGGGGGCAACAGTCTCAAGAAATCGATCGAGAGATTCAGGCGATCATGGAGGATGCCTTGTTAAATTTAGAGACGTCAGATGAGCGGCGATCGGAGAGAATCTTGGGCACTAGGTGTCAGGCGATGAAGGAGAAAGGTCACGTGCCGGCGATATGCGACTCGCAGGGTAGATTCGAGCCCATGCAGTGCGCCGGCAACACCTGCTGGTGCGTCGACGAAGCAGGCAATCAACTCATTGGATCGGAACCGTTCTTGAAGGGAACGAGTATCTGCCGTAAGTTACCGGGAACGTTTCAATTTCGCTTATTTAAAATGTGGTTTCTCACGACGGGTTCGAGAAAATTTTAACTTGGTGTGTGTGTGTGTGTATAATTTTGTTAGATTTATAACTATATATTATAATTTTTGACGAGAACACCACGATTATATACATTTTTATAAAGTAATTTTCAAACAATTATACGTAGATTTCATTTTATTTCAGTGCCAACACCGGTCGAAGCGGTGGAGGTGACACTCCGTTTCCCCGGTCGATTTCTCGCTACGGACGAGACACGATTTATCAAGGAAGCCGAGAACTTTTTGCAAGAGCTCGGGGCAAGGCTGAAGAAAGATGTGCGGGTGGAGATCAATCAGGATTCGGCAATCCTGAGCTTCGAGATCGTCGGTGCGAATAAAGTAGATGTGGCGTTCCATTTGGAGGAACTCACACGAATCCAAAAGCTGTCCATGCTGGGTTCGTCCGCGGATGCGACCACCTCGCGTTTTACGCATCGCTCCGCTCCCGTGGCGATGCATGGCAGAATTGTCGCGTTGGAGCAGCGCGAGATTCTCACCCAGGTGGAGACGCCGGTTTATCAAACGGCGACACTTGTGCTCGCGGCGGGGAGCGCCTTCGTGATCAGCAGCCTCGTCATTCTGCTGATGTTGTATCGCAAAAAGGTATGCGAGAATTGCAGAATATCATTACAATTACTAACGAATTATTGTAGTAACTAATTCCATATAATTCTGTATATTCATATGCAAATAATTTTATACGTGATTTATCGGAAAAATTTATGAGATTCTACAAGTGAAGTTGAGAGTCAAGTAGTCCCATATTTAACCCTGAATACGCTATATTAATATAAGTTGCAGAGCATAGACGACACTGAAGTGAAGAGATCTATGTTACAGATGAAAATGAAAGATCACACAAAGACGCTTCCGATGGATCAGCATTTCCTCGCCTACAGCCAACAGCCAGTTTACGTAATATCGGGATCGGAACAAGAAGAGAAAGAGAAGGAGAAGGAAAAAGAGGCTGCGGCGCAGATGTTGGAAGACATTCATACGACCAACACGTCGTAGGAGTATAAGCGTTTCGACACTTTCTCACTTCGGTCGTTCCCATCTTGTACGGTAGTGATTCGCAAAAGCCTGTCTCTTCGGAAGCGCACGAACCGATTCGCTAAGAGGTATCCATCGATATAATAACATACGGATGTCAATCGATACCCTTCGAAGTATTGCGCTCCCCGTACTCGACGCTCCCGGAAGCTCGTAAGCGTGCGGCAATCACAATTAATTCTCGGTCTATTGAGAAACTTTTGAGTTTAGAAAAGACTCCTCTCTGTTTCCGCAATTTGTTTCATGTAGCACATGTTGTAAATCTTGTATCAGTGAGGAGAGGATTCTTTGTGAAGAAATAAAAAAATCTAAAAGATTTTAATTACATCTACAAATAGAACATATCATCAACTAGAAAAAGTAAAAGATGTAGACCACGTCTTTCTGGTTGGTTGTACGACTTTTCAGAAGAAATAAGAGTTTGCTTTCACATTCACTTTTCTTTATCAATTATGATGATATACTCTGAAGGAAACGGAAATAAGTCTAACAGATACGCCGGACATGATGGATAAAGAGGCTGAAGAATTACAAGAGTGTGGTATGATACGGGAATCACTGTCGTACACGATAATGTAGCGCACAATATTGTAGTCAAAACCGCGCCATGCATATTCCACTGTCATTTTGTCATAATTTATTGTCCGCACATTCAAAGATTCATTGCGGTCTATGGACTTGACGATCGACCGTCTTTTTGTACAGGGGACGCGGTACGCACGCTCTTATGTGACAGACTGTAATATCTTGTCGGTGATACAATATGTAAATATATATTACGCATGACAAATCGGTATGATCGTCTATTTCTTCCAACAAATATATCCCAGCAAACACAATAGTATAATTGTTATACTGCTGTTGATGTAACGTAAATGTAAAGTGCAATATGACATTTACGTTACTGTAACATACACGTCAGAGTTAATTTCCCGCTTAAACAGTATTACGGAATTAATAGAATTCTGTTTAATAACAGAAATGTAACGTATATAACATATGTTTCTAGAAGATTGTCTGACAATTATATATATTCGTAGTTAAAATATTATAGAATTTGAATATAACTTACTGATTTCCTCCTCTCAGAACTGTAGATCTGTAATTGCACGTAACAGTTTTAAAAGTTATATTGTTGTCATAAAAGGAAATCAAGTAAATAAGTAAGTAATATATTAATAATTTCTACCAGCAGTTACATTACGTGTTTTACGTCTTCTACGTTATATAATATTTATGATCTATGTTTGCTGGGTAACTTCTCAAATGCGCGCATACAACCGGAAACAAATGCGAATAACAAATTGGCCGATGGGTGATGGGAATCGATCGTCGAGTAGCCGAGCCGCATTTAGGAGCGATTTCATTAATCCGCCGGTTTGTCTTCATCGATTCGTACGTAGAAGTCACTAACGCAAGGATGTCTCAGCTTAAGGATCACTAGCTGGAGGACGTCGTTGCGTTAATACATCGCGCGGGTGTAAATATTATTTATACTGTGTTCGATTATTTATATAGACGAATAAAGAACGAAACTCTCATGTTTCTCAATGACTTTGTTGTTTCTAAAATCTTGAATTATACCATCCCTTTTTGATTGTTTAAACGCAAGACAAATTGATTTACGGCGTTTAATATAAAATAAATAAAAAACTTAAAGTTGCCTCTTTAATATGTATTTATTGCATTTACGACGTGTATAAATTTTCAATGTAGAAACTAAACTAAAAGATATATCATAAAGATGTATAACATAAAAAATTGCACAACTGTCACTTCCCGTTAAAATTGTTATAATTTGGAGAAAATCGACAACAACATTATAACTATAATATTATGGAGAAATAGAAATTTTATGTCGTAAAACAGTTTTTGAACGATTTTAATAGTATTAGTTTTGTTAAAATTACAGCTTTACTTACTTTTTATTATTTTTCTTAAAAAAGCTTGAGAATAAAAGAACGCTATCGATTAATTTGATCTATCGGTTAATCATATCATAATCTCAATAACAACAACGATAACAATAACAACGGTAACGATAATGGTAATAATATCTTTATTCGTATTAACAACAGTAATCTCAATATGTCATCAAGGAAAGTGGCGGCTTATAGCGGAGAATTCGGAACTAATTTTGTCGAAATAACGGGTCTAAAGAGCCCAAAAGCCATCTTTCGACTCATTAAAATAACGGGTCTTACTACTTAGCCGAATATAAATATGGTTTGAATCCTGGCTAAAATAGTGGAAGCCGATAAAAAATGGTTTGAGTCTTGGTTAAACTAGATGGAAGTCGGTAAAAATGGTTTGAATCTCGGCTAAACAACTATTAATTAACAAATATCACATTTATCCAATAAATAAACAAAAATAATTGAATAAATAGTAATATTATACTTATCTTTAGATAAATATACAATAAATAAAATATCATATTTATCTGAAATTTAAATGACTTTATCCGTCTCCTAAAAATTTAACCGAGATACGGACCATGTTTTATCGACTCCCATTAAATTTAGCCAAGACTCAAACCACAATCAAATTTCAAGAAATTTGCCGCTTCTAGCGTTCTTCATATCTTCTCCCAAGTAGCATTGCTCAATGGCAGGTCAACCATCCTTTTACTTTATCATGAAAAATAGTCAAAATTTAGCAGGTTATAATCTAATGTAGTAGTTTTAGGTATGTTATATTTTATCTCAATGTTTAATATATTTGCATGTATAATTGTCGGAAATTTACGACAAACAATACTTGAGAGTGTAATTACTGGAGCTGAAACAAGTTGTTAGGAAGTAAATAATTAATTAACACAATTATTAAAGTAAATGGGTAAAAGAATTGTGCAATTTTTAAGACAGTGCAAATTTTATTTTTTAATTTCCTTTTCGTCTCTTCTCGTTATTATATATGACAATACAGCTACATCTTCGAATTCTGTAAAAATATCCAGTTACTGTTTGACGATTGCATGAATTTTAAGCAGTGTAATTAGCAAGACAACAAACCTTTCCGTTTCCCCTTATTTCTACATTTTTAAACATTTAGACATAAAAGAGGAAAAGGGAAGAGAAGGGAATAAAGTGCAAAGGTAATAGCATAAAGCGAATTCGTTAACTTTCACCACACGGATGAAAGATCCAAACGACGTTCTAGATATCAATCCAACCATCGATGTTAAAACTGACATCTCGATATCTCGACTACGAACACGAGTATTCGCTTTTTCGAGAGTGTAGTCTAGCGTGATTCTCGTCTCGAAGGAGACGACCACCATCTCTTATTCGGTATCGGTGTCGCGCCTCGGATACGGAACGCGCTGTGAATCCCTCACAAGACGACGTCGAAAACGCCCGAAGAGCGCCGAGGATACGGTCGACGTCGGTCGGGGTGAGTCGTTGTCGTTTGCGCGGAGCGCGAACGACCAATCGAGCGGTTCTCGAGTATTCTCGGGTCCGTTCAGGGTCGATGTGGGTCGGTTGTGCGGGGCGGTTGAGAGTAGAGGAAGGCGCATCTCTCGCATCGCCGCCGTCGTCGTGCGGTTGATTTCGCGGTCGTTCGATCGACGGATTATCGTGTGTGACCGAAAGTGCTACGTTGTTCCTGCATGTTTTTTTAACGGGACATCAACGAGAAAAGGGTCACAAGGTGAGAGGGAAGCCTGATGGGTGTCAGGACATCGAGGGGACGAGGGCAAGCCTCCTCGCAGTCGCGTCTCGCGGCAAGCAGCATCAGTTGCGGCTCGTCGTCGCCGTCGCCGTCGCCGTTCAACTTGTCATCGCCGTCGTTGTCATCGTCATCTCCGTCGTCGCCGTATCGCCATCGCCTGGAGCCGCGTATACGGAAATCAGCGAGCAGACCACACTCGTTCCTGTTATGCGCGCACACCAAGCGCCCGGAGTGTTTATAACTGCACGACGTTCGTCAGTGCTCGTGGCGGCGGAGGAGGCACAGGGTAAGGGAAAGGGCAACGAGGTGGAGGAAGGGGAGGAAACTTGACAGAAGTGAGCAAGAGCGCTGAGGGAGGGAGCGAGAAAAGGGAGAGACGGAGCGGGAACGAAGGAGGAAGAACGAGAGACGGGGAGAGACAGATAGAAGAGAGAGTCCCCCGGAGAGAGTCGGGGAGGAGAGAAAAAAAGATCGAAAGAGGCGCGAGATATCTCTCTGTGAAGCGCGCTCGCTTAGTCGGAGAACAGGAAGAGCACGAAAGAGAGTTCGGGATCGCGGAGAGAGAGAGAGAGAGAGAAAGAAAGAAAGAGACACTACGACAGAGTGAAGGAGAGAAGAACGAGCCACGACGTTCACGGTCGACGACGTAATTTTTCGGTGCCTCCCGGTGAGTGAACGTCGAAGAGGGGCGACAATCTTGAGTTTCCCCCTCGTTTTCCGCACCTCCTCAGCGTACCGCGGTGTGACCGCGGCGGTCAGTGCCGTTGCTCCAGAGAGAGAGAGAGAGAGAGAGAGAGAGAGAGAGAGAGAGAGAGGGAGAAGTAGCGAGTGAGAGAGGAGATGAGTAGGTGAAAAGAGGTGAGAGGAGGGGAAGAAAGAGAGAGAAAGAGAGTGAGTGAAACGAGGTGCAGAGGTATTCGGCGGCCTTGGGGGTAATCATCGTCCATCTCTTACTGGCTTCGGGTAACCTGTCTGGCTTGTGCACACCGAACTTCCGTGTCAGTTTGACAGTCACAGTGTGACAGTTCGTCGATCGGTCGATCGGTCGGTCGATCGACAGGCTCGTTGCCCGTCTTTCAGATTTCGACCTCCCTGCCGTGATCTCCCGCTTAGTGTGCAGTCTCCGTGAAGATCACAATGTTCACGGGCACGATGAAGATCGAGATCTGCGAGGCGATAGGGCTACGAGCGACTGACAAGCAGCGCAAATTCTGGCAGGATGAGCCTATACTCGACCCGTACGTGCAACTGGACGTCGACGAGAACCACCTGTACCGCTCGTCCACCAAGCCAAAGACCTTCGATCCTGTGTGGAACGAGTGCTTTATTCACGAGGTGCAGGATGCTATCACGTTGGGCTTCACGGTGTTCCACGACTCGGCACTGCCGCCGGATTACTTTGTTGCCAATTGCAGCATCCCGTTCGAGGAGCTGGTCAGTCGGAACGACAAGACCACTGACTTCTGGGTAGGTTGCTTGTCTTTGATATACTTATGAATTATGTGTCGCTCTATGAATTATGTGTTGCTCAATAATGATTGCAAATTTCAATGGTGCGTGTACATGTGTATATATGGTATATTACAAAGTATTGAATATTTGTTCCTATACTTAGGCCAGTATTCATAATCGGGTCTTATATTTAAGACCTTCTTAAGTTCATCTTCAGATGCTGTACAAATTATTTCGCTGGCTGCGGAGTATCTGAAGGTGAACTTAAAATGGTCTTAAATATAAAACCCAACTATGAACACCAGCCTTAGACTTTCTGTATTGTTATTACTATCAATATTGTCAATCTATTTTGAAATACACTCTGTATCCTATAAATGATGACATCAAATATATTCTGTAGATCTTTATCAACTGATTGTTGACAATGTAAATTCTAGGTTGACCTTGAACCTCAGGGAAAATTGCGAGTAAAGATAGATTTGCAATGGAATGACCAAGGTGAGTACAGAGGATAAAGTAAAAGAGAGACACCTGAACTTTTTTATCGAACAAACTTTTACATACACAACGCGCTTTGATGTTTCACTCCAATCTTCTGCAATCTTGCAGACCGACAGACAAGCTGCGGCATGGGCGGCGATGGCGAGGCTATCGGTGGTAGGGGCATTGGCAGTATCGCTACCAGTAAGGAGCCACGGCGGGAATTCAAAGAAAGACAGGGTTTCAATCGACGACGAGATGCGATGCGACGGAGAGTTCATCAAGTGAACGGGCATAAATTTATGGCAACTTTCCTGAGGCAACCGACCTTCTGCTCGCACTGCCGCGAATTCATCTGGTACGTATGCTTCGACGCGCACGCACGTCGCTGATGGCATCTCCTCATCTCGCTTGAAAGGTCTTAATCGCACAAGTAATTCTCGACGCTAATTTATTCGAAGTGTCCGAGTGCGTACTATCTTGAAATACCTGGGAATACATAAGGAGCATGCTTGAGTTGGTGTACATTTGATCCACGATCTTAGTTCTCACCTCAGAATGAGAATCGCGTGTAATCGAGTCGTGCGTCTGCCGGTGACATCTGGGTGTTAACAGTGTCGAGCGAAACGTTTACACGAAACTCCAGGGTTGCATGTCTTGGGTTACTTGATCTCTTCCTCGTATTCCACTCTAGCAATGCAGGCGGAGCTACTGCGATTAGTCCGCGACGTAGACTGTAAGAGCGACCTACGCGTCGAAATTGAATTGTCGCGAGTGACTATTTCCCGTAGAAAAAAAAAAACACACGTGGGTGCAGCTGATAGAAACGGGGCTTGATCTTGCCACTTCTTTCGTATATTACAATCCGGACATATTACTTTCACGCGCTTGTTTGCGTGTAAATTTTCTCTCTTCGGCCGGACCGCACGCTTTGGATTTGCCGAGCACCCTCGCCCCGTTACGACTCGTCGAGTCTATGGGCCGGTTGTTCCAACTTCTTGGTAAGTTAAATCATATATTTATCTTTGTTGTTTTTCCTGCAATTTAAACGAAGACAGACGTATGATTTAGCTATCAGTTAACTCACCAAGTAGTTGGAACAAACTGCCCCAGGGCTGGTTGTTCCAACTCCTCGGTAAGTTAACTGACAGTTAAATCATATGTCTGTCTTCGTTTAAATTGAAGGAGAAACAAAGATAAACATATGATTTAATTGTCGGATAACTTACCACAAGGAGTTGGGACAACCTGCCCTGGTAAGTTAATTGATCGTTAAAGCATATATTTATCTTTGTTTTTCCTTTAATTTAGACAAAGACAGACGTATGATTTAACTATCAGTTAACTTACCAAGAGGTTGGAACAACCTGCCCTAAGTATCTTAGATGTTACACACAAATACACACACATACTTTGAAATATATATATATATGTATATATATATATATATATATATATATATCAAAGTGTTGGAGTGTCGCGCAGCGATACACCATGCTGAAGCACGGGGACGAGAACGAATCTCGATGAACGAAAGGCTAATCGATGAAACACGGTGGGGGAAAGCGTACGATGCTTTCGATGCATGACACGGTCGGTGACTTCTCTTTTTTTCCTCGCATCCATCGGCCATCGCAAGCCCCTTTCTCGCCGGAGTCTAAGCGTAGATGACTAAGTACGATTGAAGATGGCAAGCGTATGTGTCTTAGAAGGGATCACGAGGATACGATGTGATGTGTTTTGTCTGTTGTATTTCAGGGGCTTGGGCAAGCAAGGCTATCAGTGTCAAGGTGAGAAGACACATACACGTTATTAACAGATTATAATTATGTACCCGCTTGCCGCACCCTTGGTATGAGTGTATGTGCAGCTAGGTATGTGTGCGTGCGTGCACGAGTGCGATTAGTCTTGCGAGCACATTGAGAGAAATCTCGATGAATCAGAGGTTCTCGATCGGCTCTACTACCCGACTTCGCCGCAGCTTCACACCTTTGACCAGCTTTGCTCTCAATCTACTCCGCATATCTCCGCTCGATCACGTCGCAGAACGTGCCACGGCTAGCGCTCACGACCGCTCACTTGAGGTTTCACTCAGCCTCGCTGACCCTTGCGATCTAACATCTAAATACTTGGCATGAATAGCGCAAATAATAATCGCACGACATCACAGGACTTCGACACTGACCGTTCGTTGCAGCGGAGCAGTAAACCTCCTCTTTAGATTATTTCATTTGCTTTTGACCGGATTATGCCGAGCTGCAAATCTTTTCGTTTTATCGCATGTTGCTCCATCAGTGAACCGGCGCAGAGTTCGATGAAAATATCTATTCACACACACATACACACACGTGTACGAAACGTGTCGTTGAGAGAGGGGGAGTGCATATTGTTGTATTCTTTCGGAAATCATCGGAAGCTTCCGTCATGACTTGTTATGGTCCCGCTTGCGATATCACTGTAAATAAGTTTCGGCTGCTTCTAATCACACGCATGCAAGCAGCTTTGGACGTGCAGTACTTATGGCGTCTCATACGGGGTATAAACGTTTCTACAAAGAGATATTTGTCATGACGTTGTTTCAGTGTGCACTTGCGTGGTCCACAAGAGATGTCACAAGTTGGTGATAACAAAATGTCCAGGGATGAAGGATGCGGTAGGTTCAACGAATTTTCTCTACTGCTTTCTCATACGCTAGAAAGAAATTGTTATATCCAGACGATCTACACATATGTTCCAATATGCAGATTATGATTACTATTCTTAATCATTAATTTACGTATCAATGTACGCTATGTTTGTTTTTCAACATTTTCTTATGTGTTTTTGGTTTTCACTTATGTATGTCGATAATTTGAACGAACGAGTCACACGTAAGATTCTATTTGCGTTTCTTTCAAGTTATTCCCGTTTTATTGAACTTCATTGAGTTCGACTGTTTTCCTCTTATTCTCTTGGTTTCTCTCGTTTTTCGAATTATACACTTAGGGTAAAGGACCTGGGTTACAGTCAAGTCAGGACACAGAGAGCCCACGCTTCAGTATAGACATGCCCCATCGGTTCGGCCCCCATAATTACAAGAGATTTACATTTTGCGACCACTGCGGATCCTTGTTGTACGGTTTATTCAAGCAAGGTTTACAATGCGAAGGTGAGTCGGTACAAATCGTTTGTGCATCACCACCACCGACCCGAGATTTACTCTAGTCGGGTGAAAAGTTGTTCTAAATTTTTCTAAATTTCTTTCTGCTTCTCGCGCGCAGCCTGCAACATGAACGTTCACAAACGGTGCCAGAAGAATGTACCGAACAGCTGCGGTATCAATACCAAGGCCATGGCCGAGATCCTGAAGACGATAAACATCTCCGCGGACAAGCATGTGAAAACCGCGAAAATTAATTACAGAATATCCGCAGGCTCGTCGGCGTCCGCGGTCACAGACGACCACCTGACCGCGGATAATTTGCAAGCGAGCCAGAAAGCATTAGAAACACCAATCAACGCCAATGAGAATGCGGTACCGGTGAACGGCAGTGAACAGAGAAAATTCGGTATAGATGATTTTAATTTTATCAAAGTCCTGGGTAAGGGCAGTTTCGGTAAAGTGATGCTAGTGGAACGAAAGGCTAACCCCGACGAAGTCTACGCCGTGAAGATCTTGAGGAAAAGCGTTATCCTGCAAGACGACGACGTGGACTGCACGATGACGGAGAAGAGGATCTTGGCCTTGGCGGCGAGGCACCCTTTTCTAACGGCCATCCACAGTTGCTTCCAAACGACCGACAGACTCTTCTTCGTCATGGAATACGTGAATGGAGGTACGCGTTACGAAACGAGGTACACAGAAAAAGTGTATGACTTTAGAGTCTCGCGAAATTTTTCACTCATTATTCGAGCATTCAAATTTCCCCTCGATTGCGATTGTGAATCAGAGATTCGTTGATCTTTTAAATTCTTCTTCATCCGACGTTCCATATCACTAGCTTTCGTTGTTACTTTTACAGGTGATCTGATGTTCCACATTCAGAAGGCTCGGAAGTTCGACGAGGCAAGGGCGTGCTTTTACGCGGCGGAGGTGACACTCGCGCTTCAGTTTCTGCACAAAAATCACGTTATATACCGCGATCTGAAGTTGGACAACATACTGTTGGATCAAGAGGGACACTGCAAACTGGCGGACTTCGGGATGTGCAAAGAGAACATAATCGAGGGACAGACAACGACGACAACATTCTGCGGCACGCCAGACTACATCGCTCCTGAGATACTTCAGGAAATACAGTACGGCGCTAGCGTTGATTGGTGGGCCCTCGGTGTTCTCATGTACGAGATGATGGCCGGACAGCCGCCGTTCGAGGCCGAGAACGAGGACGAGCTGTTCGAATCGATCTTACGGGACGACGTATTGTATCCAGTGTGGATCACTAAAGAAGCGGTGTCCATATTGAAGGGTTTCATGACTAAGAATCCTGCCAAGCGATTAGGTTGCGTCGCATCCCAAGGCGGAGAAGACGCTATTAAGGTCCATCCATTTTTTCAACACATGGATTGGGAAGCGCTCGAGGCGCGCAGGTTAAAGCCACCAATTAGACCTAAAATTGTGAGTACTAAACTCTTCTCTTTTCCGTTTTGATAAACGAACGACGTTCAATGAGTAATCGATTGTGACGCGTGAGTTAACGTATCACAAACGAATGAAAAAGAACGGATTAAATTGATAAATTCCGCAACGAAGGATTTTCGCATATCTAACGCGTGATCTTCTGTCCTATAATTTCTAGAAAAACGAAAAAGACGCCATGAACTTTGACACAGAATTCACAAAGGAGGACCCCGTGTTAACGCCGGAAGAATCGGAGGACGTGAACTACATTAACCAAGAAGAATTCCGTGGCTTCTCCATGGTCAACAAGGACTTCAATCCAGCCAGGTTTGCAGCGCAATAAAAGATGAATAACCACTGAAGAGGGAAATGGAAACCAAATTAATATCGTCCTAATGCTTCTCGCTTAACAAGGTGGCGAATGCGCTAAGTCGCGAAGCTGGAAACCTGCGTTTTTGAAGCTGCTCGACGTCTCCTTTGGCGTCCTTACGTCCGATTCGGAGATGATTTTGTCCATTGCAGATGGAAGTTTTCGACATGCGAGACGTATATTGGCGGCGATCCGAAATACACTAACACAATTCGGAAACCATCCCCCAGCCAAGCAGGATTACCAGAGGTTTCGTTCACTCGAGAATTTGCGTTTTCACGGGGAATATTTTTTACCGTCGAAGAAACGCGACGGTCAGGGAGACGCGCGTTTTTTTCGGGGCGTCCGTCGAAAGCTATCAGTCGAGTATAAGAAGTTGCGAATTTTTTGCTATTATTTTTCGCGAGAGTAGCCAGGGTCGGTGTTGCCGGAGATACATAATAGCGAGCGAAACCAAGTTTTTACAATATCCCGAAACAAATTGCTGGAATATGCAATGAACGGGAAATCGAGGGTTCACGATAATGAGGTAGTACAAAGGAATCGAGAAAAAATGGTCTAGGGCTCTCGCACGAAAGAAACTGTATGAGCGATCGCTGGGCGATCGTTAATATTTCACTTTGAAGTGAGATATACATATATACATATACATATATTCCTGCAATTATACATAATATGTTATTAGAAACGCAACAGGAATATAGATTTACATAAGATATATAAGGGAGATCAAACAAATTCGGCGAGACACACCGGTCTTCACCGGCTTCTTGACGCATCTCTTGTCGTTATCTTTGATTTTTATTTTTTACTTTTCTCTCCGTTAGAGAGTTTTTTGACGAATGTTTTTTATCCAATGATTTTATATACGAAGATTGCGTACGCACAGAGCGAATTATTCCGTTCATCTTCTCAAGTATTACGCGAGGTCGGTTGAGTTTCGATCTGACGATATTCAGTATTGCGTTTAAGTAAAATAGGAATACAACGCGAATTCGTACACACGCAAATTCACGGGGGGTTTTTTTTTTTAGACACGCGTTACAGCGGCTTACAACGCGTTTTTGTCGAACGAGGAAGATCTTTATTACGAGGATAATTGTATTTCTTTCCGTCATATCGGTCGTTAATCCGTGCAGAACTATAGGGAAAAAGCCATATGGGGAGGGGGAAAAGGAAATTAAGTTTAACCGTATATTACTTAAAAACTAAGTCGAGTTTAGTTCTCTACTTAAAACGTAGTGACGATTCGCGGAATTAGTGATGAAGACTGAAGCTGGGCTTAAATTTTAAGTAATTCCAGCGGACACATTCATAAATGTTGAAGTCTGTGTAAGCCCCTGTCATAGGAAGTAGACCATCACGATCATATAGGAAGAATCGAAAAATCGACTTTCGTTTTTCGAGGAGAGAAGCCGGCTGACTGTCCGGCTGTTCGGCGACCCTCTTGAGCGAAATCGGAAGTTTCGTCGAACTTTATACAGAGGAGCATCTCGCAGCGCTTCTCCGATAGATATCTAAGTAAAGAGGAAAAAGAAGCAAACACATACGCGCGCGTACATAAACACATAGTATATACACACACACACATACACACACACACACACACACACACAAAGTGTCACGCTCGCGTGATATAGATCGAGTAGGATACGGTCTACATCAGACAAGCGCGCTGGTTTCATACTTCAAGTGGAAGAGTTTTCCGGGCGATCATTAGACACAGAAAATCGAGTGAGAGTCCGCTGGTGGACCTCTTAATCAAATTATATTAAAGATATATTATATCTATACACGTGCGTGTGCACGCACGCGTACATGTTTAATTTATTTTAGTAAGGGATACACAGAAGCAGCAATTATGTGCAATTTAATTAAGGTACTCGCGACGGGCATATATAAAAACACACACACACACAAATATATACGTGTAAGTTTGCATGCGACTCGCGACGCAAGACTCTCTCTTACAGCGGTTTTCTTTTAAGCAACGGTGCGCGAGAGGCTGTGCAGAGTGAGTGTGTGTGTGTGTGCGCGTGCGTGTGTGTGTGTGTGTGTGTGTGTGTGTGTGTGTGTGTGTGTGTGTGTGTGTGTGTGTGTGTGTATGTGGTGTGGGCGCGCGCGCGTGCGTGTGTGTGTGGTATGGCCGTCGTGTTACACTTAGCGGGTGGTACACATCTATATTTGCGTATAGGTATCAAATTAACCGAGCGAACCGAGAAAATCGACAAAAGGGAGCTCCAATCTAGTGATTTTCAACGCACCTGTGACGCCTTCGGGATCTTTAAACGTGTTGTCTCTAGTTAGGTGTCTCTGCAGGGAGGATTTGATGAAGTATCAACTTGTGTACTTAATCTATAGCGAAGCTGAAAGCTCGTTAGACTTAAGTGGTAATAGTAATAATATTTTGTTAGCGACTTTTAAGCACGTGGCCGTTGACCGTAGTTACTTATCAGCGAGAATATTGCAATTTCTTGGTTTGAACTTCATAGCTTCGATCCAAGAGGGGGGAGAGGACGCACTGCATGAAATATGCAGAGATAATGCAAGAGGGAAAAGAAAAGACACGGAAGGACGTGTGAGCTAATATTATTCAACCTTCGGTGTACGTCGTCGGAGTGTGTCGTCCTCCCCCCAAATCCCCCCTCCTGTGCCGGCTATTTCGAACATACATCTTGAATTTTCGGTGCGAACGCACGAAGTCATCATCGTCGTTATCATCAAATAATCCTAATAATCTAGCTGGTAGATAGATACAGAGAGAAAGAAATGATAAAAAACAGCGTAGCGTATACAGAGAACAAAGAGAAATATTAGTGTTTAACCGTAGTAATAATTGTGAACAGAGAAGAAAGCGAAAATCGTGCATTATAGGAATCTCTTCGGCGCGTTCGCCGGCGACGAGCACTCTCTCCGCTGTCTCCCTGCCACGCTTCACAAACGTTCCTCAGCTCCACGTTTGTGCCAGCCCATAGTGTGGCACTGAGAAAGCGAGAGAGAGAAGCGGTTCGTCGACGGTAACTCGGCGCGCACCGTCGGTGTCGTGATCATTGTTGTTGTAAACGTCATAACGTAAAAACCATTTTTATGTCCTCCTTTAGATCTTAGGCCTCGCGAGAAAGGGAGCAAAAAGAGAGAGAGAGAGGGAGGGAGGGGAGAGAAGCAGAACGTACGAGCATGCGAGCGGAGTCGTCCTCACTTTTTGTTTTCACCTCGACCTTTGCTAATCGACGTCGGCACCTCCATCCGTGACATCCTGACCGGGCGATCGAGCGCCAGGTCGTGTTTCGAGTCTGTGCAGGACTCGAAACGCGAGATAGAGTGCCTACGAAGATCTGGAAAGATCGGGTGGAGCTGTCGACAGCGGAAGGAAGGGAGATGAATAGCATGCTCTGAGATACGCGATGTATTCATCGAGCACTCGTCGAGCGCGACTCTCACATCTTAAGCATAATGTATCAAGATATACGCGCGGCGTTGACAGTACGCGGAAACCTGACGGATATACGTATGTGTGTATGCGTGCGTGTGCGTGCGTGCGTGTTGTGTGTGTGACTGTGTGAGGGCGTGTGAGTGATGTGTACATATAGATAGATACTTAAGGTGCAAAATAATGATCGTCGCTTCCGCAGCCTCCGCGTTTGCGAGTGTGTGCCGTGTGTTTGGCGAACGTTGCGAGGAGACGGATCCGATTGTTAAAAATCCGGAGACTGAAGTGTCTCTCGATGCCGATATATAATATGTACACTTCTCGAGTTCATTCTCGAAGATCGCAAGTATGCGCCGAGGATGCTTGTGTCGATTCATAAAGGAACGAATCGCGAGTCACGTTTGGTATTCGGGATGATTCTTCGTCGCGCGCCTGAGATAACATGTTGTCATTGATTGTTCATTATAGTCATTACTTTCAGTCTCGCAATCCTCAAACGGCCAGAAGCGTACGTTTTAATCGCGAGGCCGGACGACGATTCGCCGGACACGCGGAAGCTCGACAAGCGTATGGAGCGTAGATCGTCATCGCGGTCACGTTAGCCGAAGCCGCGCGCGACCGATTTTCATCACACATAGCTTTCGCTTGCACAGCAATAATTAATCGATCATGCGATTCGTAGAGTATCTTAACTAAGCGCTAAGAAGGTATTGGCCGTCCCGCCGAGAGCGTGTCGATACTATTTCCCCGTGTATTGATTCGTTTGAGAGCGCTCCGACGTAACCTCGTGTCGACCGATCACGACCGTGCGGAGATTAATAATTAGCCACGCGCGCGCTCATTTTTACATGCTCGTCCGTTTACGTATGTCGGCACGTATATTTTCGTCACGTTTCGTTCCTGTCCTGCGAATATTTTCTTCGGCCCGTCTGTTACGACGCGCGATAGAAACCGTCTCGATACAAAAAGAAAACAGAAAAAGGTACCTGACGACTACGGTTGATCTCTAATCATGCACACGCGTTGATTATCGCGTCACGGATCAACGGATGCGGAGAAACGTGAATGAGATGCCGAGGCGATTCGTTATCTTGGAAGGAAGGGAGAAAGCGGAAACCATTCTCGTAATGAAAGAAGCTTACAGAGCCTGATTTCGGAGAAAATTCTCTTCGAGTAACATCTGAGAGACACGAAGAATACGTTATTTCTGGCTTGCTGTGAGCGAGCGAGTCTGCGACAAATAGACTGAAAGAATACTTAATTGTTCGAGAAAAGACGAAAGGAAGGGAGCCGAAAAGACAGTGCTTGAAATCTCGTCGACGTACGTGCATTTACCATAATCTAGTCAGAATGGAGATTTTTGTGCGATGGAGATGGCTCGAGTGGATTCGTGTTATGGAGTATGAATCAAATGTTAACGAATAGAGAAGAGGAGGGAACTAGAGACCGAGAGAGGGGGAAAGATAGAGAGAGAGAGAGAGAGAGACGGATTAGTCCGGCCTACGCTTAAAAAAAAAATACATAGACGCAAATAAATATAGAAATGAAAAAATATAGACAGAAAATAAGAAAAAACGAGAGTATTAAAGACGGTCTCGTGCGTTATCTGAAAATAAACAAAATTATATACGTATACCTATGTATTGTTACGTCTATGATTACGATGTACGTTATCACGTATGTATGTATTATGATGTATGTACGTTACAGTACCCTGTCCCACAGAGAAAAAGAAGAGAAGAAGAAGAAGAAGAAGAAGCGAATA